AAGACCCTTTAACTGAGCATTCTCCCTCTTCAAGCGCGCTATCTCGTCCTTTAGAACGACGATCCTCATGAGCTTCCCATCATTCAAGGCCTTGGACGTCTTGTGCAGGTCCAAGTGCATCCTGTCCATCCCCCTCATCACGGCGCACATGTGATCAAAGGTGGTGTCGTTCTCGCCGGCTATTGGACGGAAGGTACTGACATCATCACCGCTGGCTCGACGAGGGTGAAATCGATACGCCGTGTCATGGAAGATGTAGTTGTGGCACTCCCGTAGTCTGGCCATCATCAGGTATGCTGCCTCCTGACAGGCGTGATCTGCTGTGCCTCCGGACGCCTCAACCACCATGTTAGCGAGGCAAGTCCCCACGTAGCCATGGACCTCCAAGCGGACACGGTGGGGAAGCTCGCCACTGAGCGGTGGAACAGTCGTGTACTCCGGCGCGTTGGGGTAGCCCACCACCAGCGTCATACGTGCTAACTCTGCCACAAAGTCAATCATGCCTTCTCCGTGGTGGTTGGGTGGGTGGCCGGCCATCTAGAGAAGACAAAGGAGTAGGATCAATGCATGCTCAAATCCAATTTAAATAAAGTAATAAAGGACTCAAATAAGAGTATCGAATAAGAGCGAAATTTTATGTATAGATCATTTTGCATGAGGGCGAATAAATAAGACAGACTTACATAACGATAAAATGATGGGGAAATTAGATACATACTAATAATAACAATAAGAGCATAAATACCTTGCAACCCATATTCCTGAGCTGGGACCTAATGCATTTCACCCATCAAATCCCAACTGACTGACGAATAAATCTCAATAATTTTACTAAAACCCTAGACTGACTTGTTTTGACAAATCTCACTTAAACGAGCGACCAAGATTTTTCCCTTGAACCACAAGAACAGATCCCAATTTTCCCGGAACAAATCCAATTACAAAGAACATATGGAATGAAAAGGATTCAGAGGGCTCTTAGGTTTTTCCCATTTGGCTTACGATCAAGGTCGGCTCTGATACCAACTTGTCACACCCAGAAATTCCCGAATAGAATTCCAAGCAGAATGTGCATTAAAATCCCCGTCCAGGACCGGCCGGGGTACATAAACGACAAAGTTGACATACAGATCCACGTCTTACAAACATTATAAAAGTCTTACAAAAATGCAGCGGAAAAAACGAAAGACAACAGGAGCTAAGCCTTGACTAGAACTGCAGCGGGAACACCACTCCACAGGCATCCTCGACGGCACGGACGAAGCCTACTCCTCGGAGAAACCTCCATCTGACACATACTCGTACTCTGGGGTTGGGAAAAATAGAGCAAGACTGAGTACTATCCACTGTACTCAGCAAGTCATACCGGAATAGGGGTATGATGCAGGGAATTATCAAAGGAGAGCTAGCGTGGTTCATTTGCATAAAGCGAGCATTTATAAACAGAAATTTAAAGAAGAAAACAGTCGTAATAATTAATCAATATTAATCATCCACCGTCCAACGCTATACCATGTTGCGACAGGCCTAATCGTCCACCTATACTATCCAATTTCAAAAGACTAAACTAGGGTGAGACAAATCACGGTGAATCTGGTTGACCGCCCATAACCGCGGGCACGGCTATTCGAATAGTTTTACTCTGATCAGAGGTGTACAACTGTACCCACAAGACACAGCCCCACGACAAGTTTCCGTGCGCCGACATGCCACCACGACATACCGGAAAGAGGTCGTGACAAGACCCTTCGCATAACCCCCTCTAGCCAAGCACATCACACCTCAGGTTTCACCCCCGTCCTCAGCGGGCGACGGGCAGTCCCCTCACGTGCCTAGGTGAATCCGGAAGCCGCATAGGCCGTCGCAGGGCCCATCCAAACTCCATCACGCCCACCCTTGCCTGGATGCGTCAGCTAGAGAAAAGCTACACTACAAGCCCAGCCGTTGCCCACGCTGGCTTGTGGTAAGCACGATAAATTCTTCCAGGGTTTCCCGCGAACCGGTCCTTAATTGCTCTGGGTGCAACAAGCAAAACCATGCACCCACAGCCCACCATGTGATTCATTTTAATTAACCAACACCAAAGCGGTGGTACTAAACCAACATTATCATATGAACCTACAGTCTATATTTTAAATGAGATTTCCCCATTGTGTGCTAGTTGAACTAAGCATGGCTAAGCAACTCCTAGTCCAAGGTCTATTCATGTTATAACCCGAGCTAACAAAGGAGCAAGGTACCAAAATAGCATGGCTGTAACAATAGGTAAACATCCCATAGTGATATTGCAAAACAAATGCAGTATTTGAAAGAAAACATTAGAACATTTGCAATATAGGATCAACATGATCAAGTGACAAGCATGACTTGCCTTGCTCTGCTGCTGGAGGAACCTCGGCGACTATTTCGAAGTACATCGGAGCGTCGGAAGAACCGGAATCTAGCGACATACAAGGCAAACATTGCAAACAGACTATAAGACTACTGAAACAGAGAACAAAACCATTTTTAATGGATTCTACACATTTTTCTTGATTTACTGAGACTTGAATGGGCTTAAACGGAGCTCGGATGAATTAGTTATGAATTTTAGAAGATTCACTGTGTTTATTACTATAACAAAAAGTCCTTAAATAATTTATTGCGCAATAACTCCCAGGGCTGACGTCATCAGGGGGGCGGCGCCGACAGGCGGGTCCCACTGGTCAGCGGCTCAAAGGGGGGGCCGGTCCACCGTGGACCGGGACCACGTGGGTGGTCCACCGCCAGTCCACGGGACCGACGGCCCAGATCGGCCCCGAGCCGATCGGGCGGTGGCGATAGAGGCGGCCGCCGGGCTCGGCTCGGCATCAAAGCCGGCCGGCCGGCCAGGGCTAGCGGCGACGGCGACCGGCGGCACGGGAGGCGGCGGCGGCGGCCGAAGGCGACGGCGCATGACTTGAAGCGGCGGCGCGGTACTAGGAGGGAGAGGGAGGGGAGTAGAGGGGAGAGGACGCCTCACCGAGGGTGGCCGGCGCGGAGGAAGACGACGGCGAACGGCGACGGCGAGCCACGGGAGGACGACGGCAACCGGCGGACGGGCTTCGGGGTGCCCTAAGGAAGGAAGAGAGAGATATTAGAGAGAGGGAGATGAACCACGGCGGCCGGCATCCATGGCCGAAGGCGGCGGTAGAGGTAGAACTCACCGGAGCGCGAGGGGATGCGAATTCCGGCGACGAATCCCGACGGGGAAGGGGCGGACGAGGTGGAGTTTGGCCTCGCGAACCCGACGGCGGCGACGGCGCGGTGCGGCGGCGACCCTAGCGGCGGCTAGCGGCGACCGGAGTAACGGAAGCGGCGGCGGCGGGTGGTTTCACGGCGCGGGAGCGATGGGGAGCACGAGGGAGTTCGGCGAAATAGGGAAAAAGCGAGAGGGGGCGACGGGAAGCTTAAATAGGGGAGGGGAGTCCCGGACGTGGCCGGTAGGGGCAAGATTCCGCCGGCCAACGCGGGGAGTGGGAGAGGAGAGAGAGGCGGGATTCGAAAATCGAATCCCGGCCATCTCGGGCGCGGGAGCGGACGAGAGAGAGGGGGAAGTGGGCGCGGGAGGTGCGGCGCACGCGCGGGCGTGGCCGACGTGGCCCGGAGGAGGCGGAGGCGTGGGCGCGACGGCGGTTGCGGGCGCGGCGGCGCGGGCGCGAGGTAGGAGACGGGCCCGACAGGTGGGGCCCACCTGTCGGCGTCCCGGGTGGGAGGAGGGAGGCGGCCGACCTAGCTGGGCTTTGGCCTTCGGCCGACCCAGTGGAGGGGAGGGGAGGAAGGAGAATGGGCCGGCGGCCCACCCGAAAAGAAAAGGGGAAAAAGAAAAAGAAAAAGGAAGAAAAGGATTTTCCCTGGAATTAAAATATTGCTTGCTCAATTTTAATTGGTTAAATTTATTTCTAGGGCTCTGAAAATTCCACTAAAATCCTGTTAATGAATTTCTACATGTAGAACTCAAGAAAAATTCCATATGCCAGATTCGATTATTATTTGTATTATTTTCTTAGGGTTTTCTCTTGATTTGCACCAGCATTTTCTTAGGGTCATTTATAAATTAAATTTTAGGCTTGGGAGGAGAACTTCAGGGTGTGACAGTGCTGCAGCGGTGAACACGACGGCGACGAGAGCGGTCGCGGGTGGCGGTGGTGGGCTCGCTGAGGCTCCACCATCCCCTCCTTTTTTTTGGGCAGTTTTTTCCTCTTTTTGATTTTGATTTTCCCCTTTGTTGTGATTGAATCTGTGATGAATCGGTTGCCCGACAAGGCGAGTCTGTGATGAATCGACTGCGAATCTGTGGGTGGTTTATTGGGTTTGATCTTTTTTTCCCTCTCTTTTATTTTATTTACTCTTTTCTTGTGATTGAATTTGTGATGAATTGGCTGCCCGATGAGGTGAATTTGAGACGAATCAGCTGGGAATCCATGCGTGTTTTATTGGATTTCAATTTTGATTTTGTTGTTTACTTTAGGCTTTTTTTCCCCTTCAATTTCGTTTATTTTTTTTTCTCTAATTTTACTGTTTCCAATCTTAAATATTGAAGTGCCTCATCTATCTTAATTTGGGCTTGTGGGCTTAATGTGGCAAATTGAAGTAGGAATCGGTGTGGGGTATTTTTTGTGCGTGATACTTGTGTGCGGTGGGAAGAAATCGGATAACGCGGGACGAAAAATCGCTGGTGAAAAGGATGTGACGACAGAAAAAATCCGAATATTTATATTAGGTATAGATATAGATGTGGTACTACAAATATAACCATACAAAGTTCATTCATCACAGGTGGACCAAATCAACATGCCATATCAGTATAGACCACTTTTCAAACCGTCAAACGGGTTGATTTGCTCCTGGTGGTCGGCGGGGCTGGTTGGAGATTTGGCAGCAAGCTGGCCTTCGGCCTTATCACGGCCCACAAATCGAGCAAATCACACGGTTGATGGACTTTGAGTAGGCTAAAGCCCGCCCTTGCCATGAAGCAGTGGTAACTCACATGGCCCATTGTAAGCTAGTACCCTCATAAGGCCCTGTTCGGATAATACGAATCTCGAACTGTTCCTTCCAATGTCGCTACTCGCTAGTCGCTCTTATTACAGAAAGGCGAGGCAGGATACTGTACAGGTACAGCAATACAACATTCTGTTTTCAGAACGAGAAACAGACAAGTACGCCCTCGTCGAGAGGCTGGGACTACTGGACACATAGCATTTTGCATCTACTAGTACAACTAGAACTAGATCTAACCTGCCGGGCCACTACACAGCAAAAACGTGACGAGCCTAAAAAGGGGAGAAAAACGGGAGCGCGGCATACAGTACACGCGACCACACAAACGACGACATGTAAGGCACTTGGAGCGGCTCAGTACATGTACGTCGCGAGTTCTCTCTTCGCCACCGCCGTCGCCGTCGTGGCCAGTTGCCCCGCCGCGAGGAGATGCTCCGAGGCGGCCGCCTCCGCGTCGACGATGCAGAGCACGTGGTGCACCGCCGCCGCGATGTCGTCCACCGTCGTCAGGCTGCATCCTTCCTCCACCTGTGCAGCACACGGCCACGCAAAGACAAGATTAGGATTAGACGAGAACTAATGAGATTGCGTGCATGTGCAATGGCCGGTTAGGGAGCGAAGGAATCTGCCACTAAGTCGCAAAAAAAATGCCGTAGATTAGCACTACTCCCACACAGATTCCATCGGGGAACTGTCACACACTGTCATGGCTGAACACCAGCGCTATACTTGTGCCTACTGTAGCTATAGCCTTTTCTGCTCAGTTCTCTATGCCAGTCGAAATCTATAGCATGGCTCAGCTCAGCAGAAAGGATTCTCCGTGGCAGCGTTTTTCTTACACAATCTGGACTGACTGATGCAGTAGCTTTTTCGTGAAGCGTCACACTACGCACAGCTTAGGCCAGTGCTTACTAGGACTACCAGACCACTAGTAGTACTGTGCGCTACTCACCGTTTGGACTTGACAAGTCCTTTGGCTGCAGGGGCCCGACCTGCCTACTCCTACTGAAATACTCCTACGGAGTATCCGGTCAAAAGCGAACAACAAGCGAGAAGGGGAAGCAGGAAAGGACTCAGGTGGCCAGGCACTCAGGCTCCTAGTCAGGTCCATCGGATTCGATCAAATTCTGAGAAATTTTGATGCGTCTCGAACAATGATGCTTGATCGAAAGCCGATGGGTGAAGCGATCTCCATCTCTGCTCATCTCTTGTTTCTGTTCATTATACTGTTTGGGGGCCTGCACGACTGCGTCCTTGATGCGATGACCTATGCCTGTGCTGTGCAGTGCAGGCAGGAGAATATCTGACACGTTTTCTTTTCAGACGCTATACCAATCAAACACCGTCTCTAATAATCGTCCCAGATTACTCCGATTAATTAACTCGGTTGAAGTGACCTCATATGATTCCCAAACCATGCATGGAGACACGCACAAACGTTTGTGCTGGTGGTATCGCTCGGTTTGAGCGCCTGGCTAGCTACTGCATCGGTGCGCGTTTCAGCGCGAAATGCGTGTGAAATGCAGTGGCCGAAAATTGAGGCACTTTTGTTGAAAAAAGAACTGAAATCAGTGCACGGCTGCAGACGCAGGCGATAGGCGTAGGCGTACCTTGACGCTGAGGGTGTAGAGCACAAGGGAGTCCAGCGTGGTGACGTTGAGGTGCAGCACGGTGAGCCGGAGGGCCTGCAGGCCGGCGATCATCTTGAGCAGCTGCCCTGGCCGCCGCGGTGACATGACACGGACGCTGGCGTGCGTCTCGACCAGGCTCACCTCGATGTCGGCCAACCCGGAGCGGTGCTCCGACTGGAGCGCCGCCGCCACCGTGGCCGGCGACGACGACGACGCCGAAGCCGACGCCGACGCAGACGCCGCGGTGGTGGTGGTGGTGGAGTCGCGCGGCGAGTGGCACCACACGTACTGCGGGTACGCGAAGAACTGCGCGAACGGGGGCGCGTCGGCGGACGGCGCGTCCTCGGTGACGCTGCTGCTGCAGTTGCTCGTTGTCGTCGTGGGCTCCATGCAGCCGCCGGCCCCGACGTTGCTGCCGCTGGCGTTATGCATCGGCGTTGCGTCGTCGCATCTCGCCTTGTGGTGAGGGAGCAGCGTTCGCTTCTGCGCCTCAAGCGACTGCAGCTGCTGCTCGAGCTCCTTCACGAACTCGATTGCGCCTCCCACAATGGACGCCTGGTCGCCCTACACAACATTTAAAAATGATCAAGAACGCATTAATTTTGACATGACAGGCCCATCCAGGCAACTCTCTCTGTGTACGAGTGAATTAATGATAGGGGAGACACATTAATGGGCAGAAGGTTTCTGTGCAAAGAATGGATGCTTCTGTTCATGAAAAGAGATTGAGCAGTAAAGAGACGATACGCCATGAGTAACGGCGGACAATGGCGCCATGGCGGGGGAGTCTCTTTCGGCCAAACATTCTCTCATCGCCGTTCTCCTCGCCGGTTGCTCCGACATCGCTTTCTTGCTCTTTGACAAATGGGAGCAACGCAGATATACAGAACAAAAGAGGGTAGAAACACTTGACACGAAGCGATGTCGGTTTGCTAAAAAAAACCAAAACAGAGAGGGCGAGAGAGACGTGTGCCGGCGCGCGTAGTACGACGTACCCTCTGGACGTAGGGCTCCGGCATGAGCGACCGGAGGATGGCGAGGTACTCGTTCATCTGGCGCCGGCGGTTGCGCTCCACGGCGATGTGCGTCATCCGCTGGGTCTCCGTCTCCTCCCGCGACTTGCAGCTCTTCGCGCGCCGCCGCCGCTTCTTCCTCGGCGGGGCGGCTTCCGCGGCCGCGGCCGCGGCCGACGACGTCGCCTCCTTCTCCCCTGTCGCCGTGGCGCCGAGGATGTCAGCGTCGCAGAAGGCGGCGGCATTGTCGAAGAGGAAGCTCGCGGCGGCGGAGGCGTTGAAGGTGTCGTAGATGAGCGCGGTGTCGCTGCAGGGAGCGCACAGCGCGTCTACTAGTGTGCTCATGTTCGTGTGTCGTGGATGGCCTCAGCTCTCGGCGCGTACTACGTTGGCTGGTGGCTTCTCGTGTGTCGCTACGCTTTTGGGTGGTTTTGGGCAACGAACGGTGAGCCGCGGCTACTTATCGCCTCTTTGCTGCTGCTGACTTCTGAGATTCTGAGCTCGTCGCGTTGGTGGGATGCGTATGTTTCTTTCTCTCTAGCGGTGTGAGCTGGTTATATGGGGAAAAGATAAGGTTTAGGCACAGCAACAGTGGTGGGATGTGCGGCCACCCAGACAGCCATGCAATGAAACTATGCAAGCGGTAGAGAGAGGGAGAGCTAGAGCAGCAAAACTATAGCTGTGCTTCGTTCAGTGGCACCAGGTCTCTCTCTCTCTCTCTCTCGGCCTGCATCCAGTAGAACAGGCAAAAAAATGATCAGAAAGCTGAGTGGGCTCTTCTTCGTTGCGTAATCGAGCTGTCAGAAGGGAGGATGGGCTGAAAAGTCAGAATGATCCCAACTCGCCTAATTGTAGGGTTTGCTGTTTCATTAGAGCAAACACATATAGCAACTTGTCTCAAAGTTATGGAAACAATCGTAAGGTCCATTTAATTTGGAAGAAAAACATATAAATTTTGGAGAATTTCAATACTAAAGAAAAATTATATGAATACCTTTAAATCGAAGAATTGAATCTTATCTAATCATTTGAAATTTCTATGTAATGGACAATACTATAGAGATTTTAGAGGAAACTTAGCAAGAACTCAAAGCTCTTCAAAAATTTCCTTTGAGTCTATCTCTCTCATCCGATTCCATTGTTTTTCATATGATCCAATCAAACGATCATTTCTATGTATTTCCTGTGTTTTGCAAATTCTCTGTTTTATACTTACATTCATGTCAGAATCCTATATTTTTTCTATTTCTATGTTTTTTTTTTATTTCTACGATTCAAATCGAACCTAAATGGGTAAACGGAGTAGCTTTCTAACCTTGGGTATGACAGATCCTGACGGGCAATCATGGGTATTGTTTTATGCCCATGGATAATCCTTGCTCTGACCTGATATATGTGTTTCCGTCTTGTGTTTAATGCTGATTTGGGAACTCTTATTTAGAATGTTGTAAATTGCATTCTTTGGTTTGGAATGTTGATGACTTAATATTTGCTAGCTTGTGGTCAAATGTCAGTTTGGTTTAATTATGTGAGCATGGATATACTATTAATGGTTTGGAATACCCAATAAAAACTCATTGGAAATTAGGTTCTCGATGGGCACATCATAGGCATTTATTTTGTGCTCATGAAGGCGATCAGGATCGGGTTAGACAAGATTATCGACTCTTAGGTCGGGTGTGTTCTTGCTACATCAAGTTTGATAAAGCCCCTTACCATCCACACTCTAAGGGCCCCTTTGAATCGCGGGATTGAAAAACGGAGGAATAGGAAAAACACAGGATTTTGGTAGGAATGCAAGTGTAAAACAGAGGATTGCAAAACACGGGAAAAATATAGGAATGACTGTTTGATTAGACCGCAGAAAAAATGCAGGAATCAAATGAGAGAGATAGACTTAAGGAAAGTTTTCCAAGAGGTTAGAGTGGATGTTAACTTTCCTACGTTTTTGCTCTAGAATTGTAGGAATAGGAAAGTTTCCTACGTTTTTCCTTTTCTTGTTCCTACGAATCAAAGGCATGAATAGTGTAGGATTTCAATTCCTTTGTTTTTTCTCCATTTTTCCTCCAATTCAAAGGGGGCCTAAGTATGGAGGTGTAAAGGCTATAAGGAAAAGCGTTAAGCTTGACTAACCTCCTCAACTATGAAACCGGACATTTAACATCCACTAACTCTTAAAACTAGACAAATTACTCCCCTTTACTCAACACACAGTGGCCTTGGAATTATGTGGTGTCCAATATGGCATGAGATCCACCATTTAACCACTCCTCATCTTCTTCCTCCCTTTTTATTTTTCTCCCCTCTCCTCCAACAACCTTCGTCACATTCGCAACCTCCACTCCCATGACTGCAAGGTGGTGCTGACATGATGAGCTAGATGGGAAGTAGGATGGTGAGAGAGGAGGGAAATTATATGGCAGCACCATCTCTTCCCATAGCGATGACGCTCTCCTAGAGGCAGCTCGGAGCTCCGAAGTAGTCCCATGGTGGTGGTTGCCGGGGGTCCTACAAATGGTGGCCTTGCAACTCGGACTAGTACATGGCATAGTTATTAGGACCCGACCGGGAAAAACCGGAACCTCAGCCTCGACAGGTCCGGTCCTCTTAAAAGATCGGGTGTGCAATTGAACCGGCGGTTTTTATATAAACCGGGCTTTGAACTGGAGTGGTCAGACCGGGTAAGGCTTTTGTTGATGGGCTGAGGCGAGGCCCACTGAGCAAACCCCACCAAAAATCGCTAGAAGAGGGTGCGGGAGTGGGGATTCGACCTTCGGTCACATGGCTGAGAGCAGCACGCGCTAGCCAACCCTCCATCTATTCACTTATGTTGGTACGAGACATTTACGTCATATTATACATCGAACCGCGGTTGGACCGGCCTAACCTGGTCGGACCATCAAACAGGTGAACCGAGAGCTCGACCAGTTCATTATCCTGTCCGGTCTTAATAACTATGGTACATGGTGGTTGTGGCAAATGGCCTTGCAGCTTGGAGGAGTCCGTGGTGGTTGTTCGAGCTCGGTACCACTGAGAGAGCTCAATAGGGGAGCTAGTGTAGGATCGTAAAGGGTCTTTCCCACCCCAAAAGCTAGTTATTGAGGCGAAGGGCTCCCCCACTTATATATTAGGATCCTTACCCTTCCACAACCAATGTGGGACTATTCAACAGCTAGTTCAAGGCAAGCTCCTCTGTCATCCAGTCCACTGCCATCTCATCATTCCCGAGTCTTCGCTACGACATCCTCTCACAAAGTTGTCGCCTTGAGGAATGACCCTTTCTCTCATATCTCTTGCTCTCTCTCGTTGGTATTGTTTGAATAGTGTTTCTGCAAGGAGACAGGGGCGCCCTAGAGAGGTGATGACAAGTGGACCTAGCTCGTTGGACTATGATGGCGAAGGAGATGGGAAAAGAGGAAGAAGATGGATAGGGATGACATGTGGGTTTGACTATATTTTTATAACGTGTTTCAAGTAGGATTGATATTATCCTGGTTTGAGTTGGAAAGAGGAGGGGGGGAGGTGTTAAATGGTTTGTTTCACATGTAAGGAGGGTAAATCATTCTTTCACTATGTTTAGAATAAAGGCTGTGTTTAGACCCAAACTTTGGATCCAAACTTCCAACTTTTTCCATCACATCAACCTATCATACGCACACAACTTTTCAGTCACATAGTACCAATTTCAACCCAAACTTCCAACTTTGGAAGGAACTAAACACAGCCAAAGTGGACTTAGGGTGAGTTTGTGTAGACCCCCGATTTTGGAAATCGGAAATCATCTGTGTTTATCCGTACCAATCCCTGGATCAGTAGTTGGTACACACATACATAGTTGAATCACAACATATCACGAATGAATTCAGGCTAAAAGAGTTAAATACTTACATTAGAGCCAGGTGGGCCAACAACTATCAGAGAACAACAGCGGAAGACAAAATAATATAAGGGCCCGGTTAACATGCCACAGGCAGTCCACTGGGGAACGAGACCTAGAACAAGACCGCACTCCAATCATCTTGTTGGATACGCAAGCGTACCGACAAGGGCTTCTCTTCAACACTCTCCTAAAAGATATATAAATAGCAAGGGTGAGTACCAACCGTACTCAGCAAGCCACCACAGCAACAATGCATATGATAGAGGGTATTTCAAGGAAGGGCTCCAGGTTCTTTTGCGTAAAGCAAGCTTTGCAAATCTTTTCACAAGCCTGAGACCTAGCATAGACTGATCAAGTTTTAATACCAGTGTTCACATTAAATAACGATGGTTCTGTCCACCATCCATTGTGATCCCATGGATAGCTTCCCGCCATTGAATCGTCATGGTTTTCTGAGGACGTCCACCTTCCCGCCTCTCAGGAAGTGGCTCCATCAGCATAAAATCATCATGCAATAACCCATCCCACACAAGTTAAGAATTTAGAGTCTAGCCAAGTGTAATACACGTCCCGGTGCTCAATAACCGCGAGCACGGCTATTCGAATAGATTTGGTTTACTCATACTGCAGTGGATGTACACTTTACCCGCACTTCGCGACTGCCCAACACATGAGCCCGTCCCAACACATGAGACGCGTCACGGCAAAGCTTTTCGATAACCTCACATTGGCAATACCCGCTCCATGAACTTTACATCCTCATGCACTCTAGGCGTACACGGTTTCTAGCAGTGAGAGGAGTTCTAGCGCACCCGGGAAGGAAAGACTCACACATGCATTAAGTTATAATTATGTTTAAATTCTCACATGGCAGTCCTACCGATGGCGACACCACTGTAGACACCCACCTCGCGGTTCTACCAATGGCTGCCCCACCGTAGAGCCCCTGCCTCACACATCAAGAAACCACTATGCATGGATTCCACTCAGCTATCTACTCCGCTAGGTCTATACCCATACGAGAAGTGCGGTTGTACGGGGGTAGTTTCATGCTTAACTTCATGGCTCGGTCCTTAATTGACCGGGGACGATACTAGCCTTTTCCGGATACCACCCAAATCCTCCGTCCGCCCCAGTCGAAAACAGTTGTTTAATTTTATTTCTCCTTTCACAAATCATGTCATCAACATCATGGCAATGTGGCGCTTATGTCTCCACATGCCGCATCTCAATACCTTCCCAAAGGTAATTGCCCAAGCATATAGCATTTGATAAATATGAGAATGCATGATTCTAGAGTAGCATTTCTAAGCATTTGTCATAGTTGACTAGGGACTCATACGTAATCATGGTTACAAGGGAATAAGGGTAAACAATAATCAAGGCATGGCATAATCACAAGTAGGATGTTCATCATTGCATGCAATTTTATTTGTAAACAAAATAATTTTCGCAATTGGGATCAACATGTTCAAGGAATAGTGATGACTTGCCTGCTCAGGATAATTCTTATTATTGATATAATCTTGATCAACCTTCACCTCCTGGAAGTTGTAGACGTTGCCTCACGACTAACCGATACACAAGGTCTATAATACGCGAGAAAAACCAATATTCAAACAACAAGCAAATATGCACAAGCAAAAGATAATTGTTGGGGTCGATCCTAGGGTTGCTCATACTATTCGTGTTTGCTAATGGATTTCAATCATGCTAGGGCTAAGGCTTCTTAATCTTTCTATTGTCATCGTGGTCGATTTAGGAGTTAACCAACATAGCATTTATGGGATACATATATATTTGGCTAATCGGCGATTTATTCTATCAA